CACAAGATCAAAAGGCGCCAGTCAAAGCCCATTAAGCAGAAGGACCATCAAACCGGTACCGTTTGGGCGAGAGGGACCCGGCCGCGGAGGGCGAGTAGCCCGCGTGCGAGAGGGTTCTCGCCAGCTGCCAGTCTCTCGCCAAGATATACATCTCTCGCCGGACGGCTCGCCCGACCGGAGGTGATCATTGCTACACATGGGGTATTTAATGCACGTCCAATCTACTGACAATGGGCAGAGAATGTCTCTTCGACCCCTACTTTTTGCCTTCACTACACCAAAAGAGGTATTTTCTAACAGTAAAAGTTTACTATTTCTAACGGATATATACCGTTACAAATTTCTAACGATTGTTATCCGTTAGAACCGCAAGTTATCTGTTAGTATTAATAACAAATTATTTTTATTAATTTTGTAACAGCTCATAAAATACGACTAACACTTGTAGTGCGTTAGTAATAAGTGAACTACAATTATTTTTATATATATTAAATTAATAAAGAGGGCAGCAATTTATTTAAATTAAACTTAAAAGGCATTCCTTCCTCTCTTATCTGGATGTACGCTAATTGACGAGAAATAAAAGAAGAGAGAAATAAAAGAAGAGAATAAATAAGCCTTGACTCTGCGACGACGGGGTAACAGTCGCCGATGCCGCCGTCGCCTCCTCCTCCGCCGTTGCTGCCACCACCACCACCACCGCACAAGCAACAATTTTTCAAAAGCAATCAGCTTTTGAACAATGTATGGACGACGAAGACGACGACGATAAAGTTTTAGGGTTTCCGCTTCCCTTTCAAACATCGTCTATTCGACACCGTCCTTGTATAATTTACAGCAGCGGGTGATTAGGACCGCGACGAAAACATCAATTGATACAATTTCAGGTAATTATTATTTTTTAATTATGTTCTTCAACATTAAGTTTAGGTTCACGGTTTTCCTTATTATATTATTTGTGAATGTAAATAGGTGTTTGCACTAGCATTTGCTTTGGCTTCTCGTTATAATCTTTCTTTTCATATTAGAATTTTTAGTATTTTTTAACTTAATTTGTCGTTTTTTTTGGGTTTTTTTTCGACAATAGAGAATGGGAGGAATTGGGCATTTGAATATACCTGGTTTAAGAGGTGTTATTCACACAAGGTACTAGAAAGGTTCTCTCGCGTGTTGAATGGCTTGTATTCAATTATTTCTGTTGCTAACTTGTGCTTTCTGTATATATTGCAGAAGCACATGATGTAGTTGGGGAGAAGAAACCCGAGGCTCTATAAACAGAGGTATAGGTATGTTAGTATGCCATTTTATTTTTCTTGAAATTGATATAAATTGGTATTATGTAATGAGCTATCGAAAAATACTTGATTATTTTAATTTTATCACCGATGTTGTGCTTTCCCGAGTAGCAACAGATAAGAGATTGTCTCTAATTAAAGCATGGGAAGAAAGTGAGAACTCAAAAGCTGAAAACAAGTAAGCAGTTTCTCGAAGATACTTGTTCTTTATCAAATTCAGTATAGATTTATGTAGTTATTTGATTTTAGAACAGAAAGGACATATTGAGGCCTTGCTGTAAAATAAGAAAAAAAAAAAAGATAAGGCTGACTTTGGCTAATATTGATGTATCTCATACTTACTAATGATTTGCAGGTCTCGGAAGAAAATATCTACTATTTGAGATTAGGAGAACATTCGGACAATGGCC